AGAATGTATGAAGGCCGAAAAAACAAAGTAGATTCAGGTTAAAGGGCAACCATAAAGTATTCATGTTTATTACTCAAGTAGAACTATGTACATCCTACTGTTTAAAAACACTTTTGTAGAAATTAGAGTATAAACTTCAGCTTTTTACTCGTGTAAAAGTGCAAAATAGAATTTTTAAAACTACTTAAAATATAAAAGTAAAAGTAATGCAGGAAAAATTTTAAGGATAGTTCATTTAAACCTCATATTAGCTACTGCACTACGCTATTTAACAAATATTTTTCTACAATTCTGGATGATAACTTCCTTATTCTTAATTTTCTTAGTTTTATAACTAATGGCAGTAGTGTGAAATTGAACTTTGCATAATCTTGAAAAACTATTTATTTTAGAAGTTGGTGCAGAAAATTAATTGTTTTTAGGAATCAATTGTTTTTGTTTTTTATATCAGCAGGCCATAATGAAAATTAGCTCAAATGAAAACAAAACTAATGTATATTTTTTAGAATGTAAGGAGTAGAAGTAAAAAGTCTGAAAAAATTATTACTCCATTTAAGTATAGATAGCCAACTTTTCTACTTAAGGTAACAAAGTATTTTTTACGTGTTACTTTGCAGCTTTAAATTACAGAATGTTGTCTTAAAAGTTTCTGACTTCATCACTGTTTACTGCAAAATTCTCTAATAGTTTTTTTATGAACCATACAAAAACATAAATACTTTTTAGAGTTTCTGTTTCTCTCTATAGATGGAATTAACATCTCAGTATAAATGGAGTGGATGGATTACAAGAAGCCTTTATATCTTCATGAAGTCATTAGTCTTGAAAGTTTGTCTCAGTGAGGAAACGAGGGAAAAGATTTCCGCCTGCAGCTCTTCAGCCTTTAACCCGTGACATTCACAGCATTTAGCATACATGAGCTCTGTACAGGAGCAGATGCTGCTAAGAATCATCTGGGTCTGTTGCAGTCATCCTGACTTACTGACCCGGCATCAATGCTGTTTTAAATCAGGATTAGTTATGTAAGCTGGATTTATCCTTCTCTTTACCAGGGATCATAGGCAGCTCTTCTTTAAGATGCATCAAGGTTGTCTTGCAACACTAAAAGAGTTTTCTCCACCTATCTCTCTGTTTTTTCCTTTCTACTTTTGCTATGGTAGAAAAGGCTTTTAACTTTTGTTATTAACAGTTTATTAAAATCATCTGAGAACCTCAGACTGTTTCTGAGATAGTTTTGAATACAGAGGAGGAGTTCACAGTGGATTCAGCTCCTGTGGCTGCAAAGAAGCCTGCATCATTATCTCTCCACTGTTGAGATATTATCAAATACATTTATCATTTTTTCCCAGTTTTGATAATTTAATAACACATTTAAATATTTTTTTTATAAATTATTAATTTATTGTCACCCTCCATATTTCAGGGACTGCAGGTCGTTTCCGACTGTTTGGCAGCAACTGCTGCTCATTTCTGCGTATTGTTTTAACACAGACCTGAATCCTCCAGAGCTACAAATATTTAGTTAATTAATTGCATTTAATTATCAACACATGGCTGATCCTTTCCCATCTAAATGCTACTGAAGCTGCAAAGGATTCCTTCATTTCTGACACCCAGCTCTCTCGTTTTAGTATTTTCCTTGTTTGATAAATAACGATGCTGTGAAATCTGCTGTGTGGTTTCCTACACATAGGGTTAATTTAAATAATGTAAGAACTTTTTAGAGAACATATTGTTCTAGGCTCAAGGTATGTTGTTCTGGACCATGGCTGATTGTTCAGTTTGTATCATCAGTTAGAGGGTTTTTCTCTTTGATTCTCTTTTTTTTTTTTTATTTAGAAATATTGTAAGAGGAAGCACATCTTGAATAATATGAAGCAAAAGCAAGAAAGTTTCTAAATTAAAGCTTTGAATCAAGATGTTCTATAAGAGGATTATATACAAAGCTTCACTTCCTCTTCTGATTTTCATTTCTGTTAAGTTAGGAAACATTTTCTACAAGCTTTTCATTTAGTTTGGAAATCCTCTTTGTTATTTAGATTACAAACAGTTATTAATCATAGAGTTTTCAGGCTCAGAGGAGCCTCCATGATGTGGGTCTAATCCAAGGATCACATTGCCTGAGCTTTTATGTGGAATTATTGACTTTGGAGATGAAACGATGGTCACAAAAAAAATTATTTTAAAAAAACACCAACTGATGTGAGAACAAAAGAAAAAAAACATCTTTAATAAAAAAAAAATACAAATTAAAGACAATCACTACAAAAAAAAATACATTTGCGCCATCAAGTGACAAAATATTAAAATTGCAGTCTCTTTAACTTATTTTCTCTATTTTGTTGTTAAAAAAAACTCACTTTGGATACAAACAATAAAATTTTTATCAAAATAAATATAAAAATACATACATATATATATATTCTCATAATGTTATTTTTTTTTACTCACACAAATGGAAACACTTACAAAATGTAATATTGTGAGATAGTACAGCCACCAGCTTGTATTTCTCCCCATATTAGGAGTTGGTGTTGACTTCTATTCATCGTATTAACTACATTTGTGCCTATCTCTAACTTTCACCATTGGATTCATATCCACAACCTTGACCACAACCTAAGTTTAATCTACCCTATACCTCTCGAATGAAACCTTCCACTATATATATCCAGTCTGCCACATTATTAGCAATTTTTAGTCCTTAAAAAGTAGCAGATCTTACAGAAAAGGTCTTAATTAGCTACATAAACAAGCACACACACCTACAGGCTGTTTATTTATGTCCCTCTGGTCTGATATAAACTCTGTCCCTCCATCCAACCTCCTCACCTGCTTCATTTTGGTGTTTTCTTGTTGTTTTGACTCCATCCATTGTTTCAGAGCAGTGTAGGGTGCCAATGATCACAGTTAACAGAGTTGTGTTGTTCTGTGTTGTAATTGGTGCTGAAAATAAGAAGGAGATCATAAAAGAAAGATGGAGGATGTTAGGATGTGATGAGAGAGATTGTTTGGTTGATTCCTAATAGATATTTTTGTCTTCTTCTTCTTGAGGGTCACAGACCAACCTGAGAGAATCAGCAGATCTCCGGTCCCAAGGTGAGTACATGTTTGGGTTTTCCTTTTAGCTCGGTTCCTCTGTGTTTGTTCCAGTCATAATCAGCTTCCAGGGATTTTGGTAAAGTTATTTTTCTGGTTGTAAATATCTGGACCCTTGCACAACTCAATCTTTTTTCTTCATTATGGAAAAAAAAAATTTTTTATGGAACTCTTATTCAAAAATGACAATAGCCCACTCAGGTTAAAGATGGCAGAAATCCTGTGGAATCTTAGTTTCTGGGTTCGTTACTGAAGGTTTCATGTGCTCCTCCCAGCCTCAGCAGCTCCAGCCCAGTCTCAGGTTAAAAGCATCAGGTAAAACAGTGACAGGTGGATATTTAGTATGCAGACTGTGGTGTAGATCTAGACTCTCACTGTGGCTCCTTGTTGTAAATGATTCCGGCTGGTAGAACTGAGATATGATTGTCTGACCTGAACCCATTAGCAGGATTTAGTAATGTGTTTTTACTTGTTAGTCATTGTTATTGTAGAAGTCTTGAATTTATATGAAATCACATTTTTTAATCTTTTCCCACCTTTAATGTAACAAATATCCCCTGCAGTTAAACTAAGAAACTATTTGATGTCATAATTTTAGAAAATTGTGAAGGGCAGTTGAGTGCGTTCAAACTAAGGTTGCCAACTGCCCCTTAAAATAAGAAACTGACTCATAATAAGAAACATTTAAAAAGACAATTAACTTACACAATAAGGGAAAAAATAAATGAATATCAGCATAGTGAAAGACAATACCTGACCAGGAAGTGTCCCTTGTTTAATTTTCACAGAGTTGGCAACCCTGGTTTAAACACCTTTAAACTAATGCTTTATTAAAGCACTTTTTGATTGAATTTCTTCATTCATCTTGCCATCAGTAATAGAACACATAGTTGAAATGAAAGGAGTTTGTAGCATTTGCATCCTTTTTATACTCGTGATCAGCAAAGAAGTTTTGCAAATATTTAAATCTTGATGATGCAAATAGATTCACTACATTATCTATGCGTTGGAACATTGAAAGCTGTTATCAACGACTCTAGGAAGTAGGAGACAGTAAGCAGACAGAATCTGTCTAGTGAGTCTGACAAGAGACAGAATGAAGTGAATTTCAATCAAATTCTGCTTTAACTCTACATCTCTATTCTCTGTCTATATTCTAAATTTGTCTGGACTCTGGGGTACAGTTGTGAGACTAAGTAAAACTTTTTAAAAGTTTACCAATATTTCCAATGCGAATGTTTGGTACAGAAACATTATGTTTTCACAGAGAGACACAGTGGTGGCAGCTTAATGCTGTGGGGTTACCTGTCATCAGACTGAATTGTTAGTTTTGACCCAAAATCTTTTTTTTTTCTCCAACTAGGATAAATATTGGTGTGAGGGACCAAACTTAAATAAGGACAAAAGGTGTTAAAAATTTGAAAAAGTGCTTTCATTTAATTGTGTAAAAATGGTTAACAAAGGCTCAAAAGCAATACAAAATAACTTAAATACAAAATAACATTAATCTGGACCCAACTTAACTGAGGTTAACTGAGGATCCAACTCAAACAAAAAGCTGACCTGCAAACAAAGAACTAAAGGCTGCTTAAAAAGGGATGGAGTAACCCAAGTCGACAAAATGAGGGAGGCAAAAGATAACAAAAGAACCAATAAATACAAAATTAACCATTCTATGAAACAAATAAAGCAAAACTAACTTTTACTTAGCAGTAACAATAAGTGAATATTTAAGTAACAAACTAATTGAAAACTTCTTGAAACAAGTCTCCCCTGTCAGTCTTTCAAAAATGGTACGGTCCAGGTTTCCTTCTCCAGCTGGTTTGCATCAGCAGCACCTCAAACAAAAGAACAAGTGTAAATAAACCATTCAGACAGACATTAACTAAAGTGTGAACCCATTAGAAAATACCCGTCTAATATAACCAACTTAAACATAAATTGTAATATAATATAAAGCAAGAAAAGAAAATATTAACAGGATGTGGTGGTAGGATTATCCACCACAATTGTCAATATACAAAGTCCAAGATTCTAGAAAAACCCTGGAGGTTCTTTCCAGATAATATTTGTCAAAATTCATTTCAAATATTGCTTTTAACGAAGCTTTAGTTTTGGGGTTTCAGTTGAATTTTACAAGTAACATTAAAGGTGGGAAATTTTGGTAATTTGAACAAAAACGTAACCTTTTTCCGGCAAGTATTTGGTTTATTGAAGGATTGTTACTGATCACAGGAAGGTTAATCACCAAACTGGATGTCTGATGTTATGTTTTTTTCTCCTCCTTTCCAACTCATTCCCATTCATCCTTTTACTTCTTAATTTCGACTTCATTTCATCACTGCTATTAAAAACCTTTTCTACCCCCAACTCTTCCTTTTCTTCTCTCTCATCCACACGTCTCTCCTGCTCCTTCTCTCCCTCCCTAGTCGCCATCTATCTGGGTATCAGAAAGCGGCCGAGCCCCGGACCCCCCGATGCGGATGGGATGTGAGGGTCCGGAGCCCCCGGGATCCCGCCGAGGTGGTGCTGGCATTGCGAGAGGCGGCGCAGGGCTGCGGCTGCCAGGTCCATCTCGCCGGGTCTTTCCTCCTGTCCTGCACCCATGGGGCAGCCGGCGCTCGCGTGGCCTTCGAGGCCGAGGTCTGCCAGCTGCCCAGCGGGCAGGGCCAAAGCGGTGTGAAGTTCAGGCGCCTGTGGGGGGCGCCTCTAGCCTTTAGAGACATCGCCGCCAAAGTGTCCAAGGAGCTGGAGCTCAGAGGTGAGGCAAGTAGGTGACAGACTGACGGACTGAGGAAGGAGGAGGAGGAAGGGAAATAACTTCCTTCTTCTCTTCCTCCTTGGACTCCACATCATCTCGCATTGCCTCACCTCCGCCAAAAGCCCCTCAGCTCCCAGACACCCCCACTCAAAGCTGGACGGACGGATGCAACAGACTAAAGCTGCCCCTTTGACCTGCGACCCCTGCTGAGAAAACACCCACACCTGCGTAGCTTAAGGCCATAGAGTTGGACTCTTACTTTTTTTTTTTTCACAAGTTCAGATGTAATTCAGGTTGTTGTTGCTGAAAATGATTGCGAACGGTAACTTGTTTATATTGTTGTTTCTGTTGTTTGTCATCATTCCTTTTTAAAGAGCTGCTATTTAAACTGTTCTTTTTTTATTTTTATGTAATTATTATTATTTTTTTTGCTTAGTGCTTTTAAAATAGGAAGATATTGACAACTACTGTCAATATCAGAATCAGAAGTCACAGAGGAAACCTCCGGCCTGTAGGGGGAGACATGCAGAAATGCAGGGACTGTCAACAGATTAACTGAAGCAAAGCTGAAGAAGCCTCTTGGATGAGAGGCCAAACGTCTTCTGCCCAGTTACCTATACTGCTGCTTCAAGCCTCTGGATTTTGGCTATTCTTCAGCCTTCCTACTGAAAAGTTTGCTTCATTCTCTCATCTATGTGGTAAACAGGAAGCAGAGCCTCTTTCCCGTCTGACGTTTAACATGTAGGGACATAAAAACAATCGCACCGTCATTATTTATTAAACCAGTATGAAGCCAAAATAGAAATGCTGTGTTGTGGAAAATCAAATAACACCCAGTCGCTTCAGCTGAAAACCTCACTTAGTAACTATGTATTCTGTTGTGTTTTTAGATAAAAACTTTTTTTCTCTGTTAGCTTTTTTTTTTTTNATAACAAAAGAACCAATAAATACAAAATTAACCATTCTATGAAACAAATAAAGCAAAACTAACTTTTACTTAGCAGTAACAATAAGTGAATATTTAAGTAACAAACTAATTGAAAACTTCTTGAAACAAGTCTCCCCTGTCAGTCTTTCAAAAATGGTACGGTCCAGGTTTCCTTCTCCAGCTGGTTTGCATCAGCAGCACCTCAAACAAAAGAACAAGTGTAAATAAACCATTCAGACAGACATTAACTAAAGTGTGAACCCATTAGAAAATACCCGTCTAAAATAACCAACTTAAACATAAATTATAATATAATATAAAGCAAGAAAAGAAAATATTAACAGGATGTGGTGGCGGTAGGATTATCCACAACAATTGGCAATATACAAAGTCCAAGCATGTGTCTAAATAAACTGGACTCAATCTAACCAGATTCTAGAAAAAACCCTGGAGGTTCTTTCCAGATAATATTTGTCAAAATTCATTTCAAATATTGCTTTTAACGAAGCTTTAGTTTTGGGGTTTCAGTTGAATTTTACAAGTAACATTAAAGGTGGGAAATTTTGGTAATTTGAACAAAAACGTAACCTTTTTCCGGCAAGTATTTGGTTTATTGAAGGATTGTTACTGATCACAGGAAGGTTAATCACCAAACTGGATGTCTGATTTTATGTTTTTTTCTCCTCTTTTCCAACTCATTCCCATTCATCCTTTTACTTCTTAATTTCGACTTCATTTCATCACTGCTATTAAAAACCTTTTCTACCCCCAACTCTTCCTTTTCTTCTCTCTCATCCACACGTCTCTCCTGCTCCTTCTCTCCCTCCCTAGTCGCCATCTATCTGGGTATCAGAAAGCGGCCGAGCCCCGGACCCCCCGATGCGGATGGGATGTGAGGGTCCGGAGCCCCCGGGATCCCGCCGAGGTGGTGCTGGCATTGCGAGAGGCGGCGCAGGGCTGCGGCTGCCAGGTCCATCTCGCCGGGTCTTTCCTCCTGTCCTGCACCCATGGGGCAGCCGGCGCTCGCGTGGCCTTCGAGGCCGAGGTCTGCCAGCTGCCCAGCGGGCAGGGCCAAAGCGGTGTGAAGTTCAGGCGCCTGTGGGGGGCGCCTCTAGCCTTTAGAGACATCGCCGCCAAAGTGTCCAAGGAGCTGGAGCTCAGAGGTGAGGCAAGTAGGTGACAGACTGACGGACTGAGGAAGGAGGAGGAGGAAGGGAAATAACTTCCTTCTTCTCTTCCTCCGTGGACTCCACATCATCTCGCATTGCCTCACCTCCGCCAAAAGCCCCTCAGCTCCCAGACACCCCCACTCAAAGCCGGACGGACGGATGCAACAGACTAAAGCTGCCCCTTTGACCTGCGACCCCTGCTGAGAAAACACCCACACCTGCGTAGCTTAAGGCCATAGAGTTGGACTCTTACTTTTTTTTTTTTCACAAGTTCAGATGTAATTCAGGTTGTTGTTGCTGAAAATGATTGCGAACGGTAACTTGTTTATATTGTTGTTTCTGTTGTTTGTCATCATTCCTTTTTAAAGAGCTGCTATTTAAACTGTTCTTTTTTTATTTTTATGTAATTATTATTATTTTTTTTGCTTAGTGCTTTTAAAATAGGAAGATATTGACAACTACTGTCAATATCAGAATCAGAAGTCACAGAGGAAACCTCCGGCCTGTAGGGGGAGACATGCAGAAATGCAGGGACTGTCAACAGATTAACTGAAGCAAAGCTGAAGAAGCCTCTTGGATGAGAGGCCAAACGTCTTCTGCCCAGTTACCTATACTGCTGCTTCAAGCCTCTGGATTTTGGCTATTCTTCAGCCTTCCTACTGAAAAGTTTGCTTCATTCTCTCATCTATGTGGTAAACAGTAAGCAGAGCCTCTTTCCCGTCTGACGTTTAACATGTAGGGACATAAAAACAATCGCACTGTCATTATTTATTAAACCAGTATGAAGCCAAAATAGAAATGCTGTGTTGTGGAAAATCAAATAACACCCAGTCGCTTCAGCTGAAAACCTCACTTAGTAACTATGTATTCTGTTGTGTTTTTAGATAAAAACTTTTTTTCTCTGTTAGCTTTTTTTTTTTTTTTTTTTTTAGTCATACTTGTTCAGTTTTCGTAACTGTCCCGGATGAGCTTCAGCCTTTAACATGGAAACAGTGAGTGAGGATTTTCTCACTGAGCTGTTGTGTGTTTTTCATTTCCATTAACATTTTCACCATCTGACCTTTGGGTGCATTTACTTTATTCCCACATACCTGAAGGTCGGTTGCCATCTTAAATGTCCCCATAACCTTTCAGGTTATGTTTTATTAACACCTAAAAGTAGATTTTTTTTTCTTTGTTTTACAGTGAGACAAGGTAAAAATGGCCTCAGATATGTAAAAACTAACACATAGCAGATCTAAAAATACACAATTTAAAAAGAAATCGTATTACTTAAAGCTTTACTAATCAAGACGGCTGAATATCTACAGAGTTTTGCTCATATTTGTAAACGCAGCTGGTGACAGTTGCTTCCAAAAGTCACTGCTGTTGTTTTGCCGCCTTGATGTTAAGTTAACTCGTACTTGGATTCCCCAGAGCAGCAAAGAGCTTTTTCTTCACTGTTAACAAACAAATAGAATATCTAACTGCTTATTCCCTTTAAATACCGTGGAAGCAACATGGTTGAATTTAGTTTTTCCACACACAGCTTTCACCATGATCCACAGTGATCATATAACAGCGTCAAGTTTTTCTGAGTTTTTTTGCAACCTTCAAGCTTGATGTAAGTAATTTGATAATCTTTGGAATATCAGATGATTTGATTATGTTTCAACTCTCCAGAATTAAAAGAGGGCTTTTTTTTTTTTTTTTTTACCAGAACTGCAACTGGAAGATAAGCAGGAAAAAAACTGGCTAATTAATGATAAAAAAAGAAGGTTCCAACCATGTTTACGTCACTCGATCCGTCTTTCCAAACACTAAGCTCCAGCTGACCATGAAACGGGACTTTTAGATCAGATTAATATTATTCATTACTCCATTGACACCAATACGATTAACTAGGGGAAGCCATAAAAAGGAAAAATATGACTTCACATTTAATTTTTAAATAAATAAAACTCATTCTTTCAACAATTTCCAAAATAGTTTTTAAGCAGTAAAACATCTTTTTGGGAAATTCTGACTCTGCAATAATGGTTTCAAACTCCAGTCCTTGATTGCTGGTGTCCTGCAACTATTAAATGTGTCCACTGCCCTAGAACATCAGAACCTAATGGCTCAGCTGATTTGCTAGCGTGCATTTCAGCTCTACATTGCTCTGCTAATGAGCTAATTGATTCAGGATTGTTGGAGCAGAACCATCTTACCATTGCTGGACGCTGATCATGCAGGACTGGAGCTGGAGACCCCAAAGGCTCTACTCAATGGTTCATTTACCTTAGACTGGTCCAGAACCAGTGGATTACACTGGAAAAAAAATCTAAATCTAGATAAGTCATTTTTTCTTAAAATAAGTGCATGTCTTCTTGAATCAGGAAGGTAAAATAAACATTTTGCCAATGGAACAAGACAATTTACATTTAAAATAAGCAAACACAATTGCAATGTCTTATTCCAAGTACATTTTATCTAAATATCTAAAATAAATACTCATTACATTGGCAAATCGTTACATTTACCTACTCAAATTACATTTTTACTTATTTTAGATTGTTTTTCCAGTGTAGTCGCTCTTTCTCTGATCAACACTGTTCAGTGTCCCAGCCTGTCTTACGCCATTGCTGATGTGTTTTATAAACATAGTGCAATACAGACACAGAGCCAACAATCACAAGTTTCAATCTTTTTTCTTTCGGTTTTTATCGTTTCTGGGATGTTGATGTAGATTCAGCACTTTTTCTTCCAATTTTCCCAACACCTCAGCCTCAATGCCTTTTTTTTTGTTCGTGGTACAACTACGACTCCTTTTAAGAATATGGAATCACTGCAATATGAGGATGTCTGACATTATAGTGAAACAAAATCAACATTAGAATTAATGGCACTTTTCTGGATATAGTAGGCTTGGATATTTCTTTCCTTTTCTAATCCTTGCTCTGGTTTTACCCAACAGCTCACCTGTTGGACCTTCTTTCAGTCCTCTGTAACAACAACAGGCTTTGTTTTCATTTGCACTAGTTTAATCACTGACTAATCTCGCTCTACATGCTGTGGCTCCATATTTTTTTTGCCAAGAGTTAAAAATCAGATTCTTTAATTTTGACATTCAAGCTGTAGATTCTCTCTCCTTTTTGGCCAGACTTCAGGACTGATATTAAGACTGTTGTCTCATTGGATTAAAGGTATGGATCCATGACTGTTAACAATCAAATTCCTGCTTTTAAAAGCCAATTTAAAAAAATAAATAAATAAAAATTTGAAGCTACACTTTGATGCAACAGATAAAAAAAAAATCTCTTATTTTTTTGTTATTCTTGCTATAAATCCAAACTCTTTACTGCAGCATCTTAAAAACACTGACCTGGAAAAGTCAATGTTCCTGGAGTCTCTGCAGGAATTCTGTTTTTTGTGCGTCAAACCTCCGTCTGAAGATGTGAAGCTGTGATTTAGAGGCCTGTTATGCAATTGTATTTTTGTTTACAGCTCTGCCTCACCACCAGAAGATGTTCTCATCCTATAAGTTGGGTTCATTCTTCAGGGCCTCAGATAATGTTAAATATTTGAAATCTAACGTACCGGCTCAAATACCAGAAATGATCGACTTGCAGTCCTGCATGTCTCCTAGGATATGTGTGACACAAAAATAAAAAAAATCTTCAACCAGTAATATGTTGTTCTTTCTTTTTATTCATATTTAGAAGCGACTCACAACAGTAGCTTTCCCTTTAATAGTCAACAGCAACATGCAGGCCTAAAATTATCCATTAATGTTCTGTGTCCTATAGATGACTCTATTTCACTAGAAAATGTATAAACCCCAGTAAATATCTACATGGACTCTA